CCCCCCCCCAACATTCTAATCTCTCACCGTTGATGCCTGAAGCAGATCCCTGCAGAGGCCATTTCAAAAGGATTTGGGGGGGAATTCAGCCGTCCCTGAAGGGATTTTTTTAGTTGTTGGATTTTTCTACAAACCCAGGAAGTCTACTGACTATGTAGGAAAAGCTGTTGGGGGAGAGTGAGCCCCCTGTTGGTGGAAATAAGTATCCGCACAGAAAAAAACCCTCTGGCTAATAGAATAAGGATATAAATTTTTAATAGTTTATCAAATTAACTCTTGTCTACAGCAATGAATGTCATCAAAATATTAATGCTATGCAAGATGGTATGCAGACTTTGAAGCTTAGATGCTCCGTAATAATGAAACATTGATATGTAAAATAAGAGATTCCCCCCTCCCCCTCATCCGTAATTTAACTTCCCTCCTCTCTCCTTCCTTTGCAGATTCCATTGTGATTGGGTTTTGGGTTGGCCTGGCTGTCTTCGTCATTTTTATGTTCTTTGTACTGACCTTGTTGACAAAGACAGGAGCACCACATCAAGAGTAAGTACAACCAATACCTAGCCAGAGTCCTCTGGCACTGATCAGTTGGCACTCTTTGTAGCAACAGGTCTTTGGAACGAATTCATTCTTGTGTTATATATAGCAACTAGGAGGGAAGCTCGTTGTAGGGAGAAGACAACAGGCGCTAGAAAGACAGGGGCCTCCGTCCCGCACTTTCTCCCCCCCCCGCAGACCCCGGGGTCTGCGACTGGCTTCCTGGGCGGCTGTGCCTGGGGGCCTCCGGGCCGCCTCAATGGCCGCATGCCCCAGTGGCGTGCCAGCCCCCTTCCATGTGCAGGCTGTCCGCCGGCGTGCCACGGCGGGCTAGTATGGCCTCAGTGGCAGCAGGCCCGGGCTCGTCCTGATGAACCTGCGTTGGATCGAAGTGAGGCCCTTTTGCTCACTCCCCCCCTCCCCAGACCCTGGGGCTGTGCTGCATGCGGCAGCCTCCGGGCCAGCTTAACAGGTCTTCGGGCAGACAGTGCACCAGCCCCTGCCCGCTCGCAGCCTGGTCACCGATGTGGCTCAGACCTCGGCGGCCCACAACAGCCATGCCGGCGGCAGCAGGAGTGGGCTCAGGCCGTCGACCTTGTGGGCGGTGAAGGGGCTGGGGCACTCATTGCATCAGAGGAAAACGAGGCCCATCCCCCTACTCTCTCTGCCCTCCCCATACCGCTGGGCCCTGCTGCATCCAGTGGCCTCCGGGTCGCCTTGACGGCTCTTTGTCCCAGTGGTGCGCCAGCCCCATCTGCTTACAGGCTGGCCGCCAAGACGGTCGGGGTGACGACAACTGGCCTGGGGGTGGGAGGAAACAGCTTGCCCAAGCATCCAGCCACCGGACTGTGCATTCCATCTGGTGGCCGGCGCTTGTGTGGGCGGGACCCCGCAATGCAGCCAGCCAATGCAGGCAGCGCCTTTGGAATGGCAGTTTTGGCATGAATAGAACTTTGCCACCCCAAATCACTTTTATTAATGAGAGATGTATTTGCTACTGTAAAATCCAGACCACCACTTTGTTCCGAAAAGACACCAACCCCGAAGCTTGTTACTTAAGAAAATGCTGGCTTCTTCACTGAGTAGAGGAACAAGTTAGCTGACTTCAAAGATGGTTTCAGCGATCGCCATGGCAGTAGCTTTGTCCCGGACCTCCAGGAGAAGTCTGTCAGCTCCCACGGCTGGGGGGGGGGGCGCAATCGTCCGCATCACCCCAGGAGCCTGGGAGAAGGGCTCCCAGCCATGGGGTGCTAGAGAGCTCCCTCTCGGTGTGAATAGCCAGCGAGGGGGGGCTACTCCAAGCCCCGACGGTCCTACCATGGAGCGTCCCGTATGGGAACAAGATCAGTACACCAGAGCAAGCGTTTGGTGATCAAGAGATATTAGACCCGAGCGAGCAATCGTTGAAAATGTGAGTTTAAGTACAAGTGAGAACAACGAAAAAGTGTAGGGCTCTCTCGAAAGAAAACGAGGGGGGGGGGGGGGGGGACTCCCCTCCATTCAGAACTGTTTACAGGCGATTTTAGCTACAAAAGGGGGGGGGCTACTACTAAAAGTGACCGGAATAAAATAAAGAGGCTGTAAGAGCTTACCGCATTACAAAAGAACTTCCAGAGACTTTGACAAACTTTTGATAAAAGTAAACAATTCTCAAACATGGCGCCACCAACAGTGAAGGACTCTAGAGATAAACAAGTGAAAGCAAAGCTTCTTCCTGGAAGTTCCAGTCCTGCAAGTTCTGCTCCTAGACAGGACTCAACAGTGGAACTTCAGAGGCTCTTGTCGGAAGCACTTCACCCTCTCAGGCTTCCAAAGTACTTACCGTGATCCAGTGGGGGACACAGACGTCCTCGCAGGATCATTCCTGCGGGGACAATAGACGCGCCGCACAATGCCATTGCCAGGAAGTGACACTGGGTGACGCATTGGCAATGGGGCTGGAAACTCGATGGTACCATCGAGTTTTCAGTCCCATTGCCAGAGCGTCGCCCAGCGTCACTTCCTGGTGACAGCATGGTGTGTTACAGGGAGGAATGGTGTGGCTGGGTAGCATGTTTCCCCCGCTGGATCACGGTAAGTACTTGGGAACCCTACGCCCTCTACTGGAGAAAATCATGGCAATTGATAACAAGCTGGACACACAACAAGCACAAATGGCTGCAAACATGCAGAAAATAAAAAAAATGGAGCAGGAGCTTAAAGAGATTGATACCAACTCAAAAAAGATGGACAAAAAACTGCAGGCACTGGAAAAAAGTGTCAAGTTGAAAAGTCTCGAGTATTACAGCTTCAAATGGAAAGAGCAAGCTATGTCTTGAGACTTCAAGGTATCCAGGAAGAGAAAGGAGAGAACCTAAGACAGATTGTCAGCGAGGCCCTTGCGCCCATGGCAGAGATGACATCGGATCAACTTCAAAGCAAAATAGATAACGGTCGATAGATCGTATTCAGAATTTATTAGAAAGAATTATCTGCCAGGGGAAGTTACAATAAGATTCTCTCAAAGAAAAGTGAGAGATCAACTACTGAAAGCATCCAATGGAGCTACTTTGAAGATAAAAGACAAAGATATAAGAATACTGAAAGATGTTCCATTTGAGATAAGAAGAAAAAGAAGGAAATATAGAGACTTGACTCTGTTTCTACAAAAACATGACGTGGTCTACAGATGGTTAACACCTGAGGGACTAATCTTCAGATATGCAAACAGTAAAGAAAGGATTGACTCTGTTGAAAAGGCTTGTGAATTTTTGCGTCAACATAGCAGTCCAACAGGAGAAGGTGCGACCGATTATGCCAAAGAGAGCGAATAAGGAGAGTCTGGATCCTCTGAGGAAGACTCTGACTCTAAATTGGGGGTGGCGGGTCCTAAACAAGGCTATCAATTGAGACACAGAAAGGGGGAAAAATAGATTGTTAATGTGCTCTGGAATATTCAAAAAGAAGTTTATTGTATATCGTTCTACAACCTCTTTATGAAATTAGAAATGTTGATGAAGCATTTATGTTTAATTAGATAGATGATCATTTTCAACGAAAGTTAACTTGGGTCTAAGTTTAAAGGTATATTTGTAAACGTATGTATGATCACCATCTCTTGGGTTTTTAGAGGGTTTTCTTTTCTTTCTCCCATAGATGTAGTTCCCCTTCCCTGGATTTTCTGTTTGTAGTTTTTAGTATGTAGTTATTAGAAAATGCAATTAAAAATACCCCTCTTGGGGGGTGCAAAAAAAAAAAAAAGACGAATGCACAAAGTGAAGCTGCTGGGGGCATGGGGGAGAGATTGGCAGGAAGGGGCAGCCCCTGAATGTAGCATCCTCCTTCTGCATCCCAAGCAGGCTGGGGTGGTTGGGAAGTATAATGTACGTTCTGGAATGCTCCCAGTTTTAGCTAGCTTTGTATTCTTGAACTCTTTCCTACCTGTTGCTCACACGCAAGGTCTGCTACTGAACCAGAATTAAACAAGCCCCTTTATGTTTTAACTAAGAGAAAATAAGCAATTTGGTAAACTCAGTCTTATATATATTTGAATAAAAGCCCTCTCACTGAAGGCTTATTGGGATGAAATTTGACGTCATGGCAACCCAACCCAAACTAAAATTGTATGGAATAATTTTTGAAGCTTCTCTGGACCTTTCTCCTAGCATGGCAACATCCTTGCTGAGGACAGATCAACCAACCTGCAGGAATTCATAAATCCATTATTAATAATTATTAAGAATGGACAATTGCCAAAAAAGTCACATTTTAACATCCTGTTGAGATCTTCCCTTTCAGAAATACATAATATAATGAATGTTCCAAAGTATTAGGGCAGTATGGGGTCTTTATATTATTTCAGTACAGTTATTCAGAAATTATTTAGCAATTAATTAATACATGAATGGAAAATTCTACTTTCCATCAAATAAAGTACATCCATCTCTTAACTAAGCAAAGGACAAAATGAAATTCTAGTAACTGTAATTCTAGTAAATAAGGAAAATGTCCATCAAATAAGATACATCCATGTCTTAACTAACATCTTTTAACTAAGCAAAGGACAAAATGATTAACTATTAAGAGTTGAAATTCTAGTAACTGGCAGTGAAACCAAAGCATAATTTCTCATTTGTGCATATGTTAGGTGACCTAATATTCTGAGCAGGCTGTTCATGATGATGATGATGACTGAAGCTGTGGTTTTGGCAAATGATAGCACTTAATTCATTTTATACAGTGTAATATTGACTCTGCTTGCTTTCTAGGAATGCAGATCCTTCTGAGAAAAGACTCTGCATGAACAGCTTTGTGGCCGACTTTGGAAGGCCACTGGATTCTGGCCGGATCTGTTCCCAACAAGCTGCTGAAGAATCGAGGTTGCTCTTCCACTGCTACATAAATGAAGTTGAGAATTTGGACAGGGGAAAACAATGCCACAAAGCTCCAGTTCTGGACAGTAACATCCACTTCCAGGAAGTGGTCCGGAGCACTGGGAGAGTCGAGGAGGAGCTGAGTTGTCACACAAAATTCAACATCCCAAACTTTGTGAACACTGACCAGAACTCTTCGCTGGGTGAAGATGACCTGTTGATTTCAGAGCCACCAATCATTTTAGAGAGCAAGCCAGTGAGTCAGGCTTTACACCAGCTTCTCAACTAATGACACTTGAGCAAGGTGTTTCTCTAGTGTAACAGGGACTCCTGTTTTATAGTATCACACTTTTTGGGTCTATAGTAAAACAGATAGTTTTTCTTTGACTGCCATCCTGTGTTTTATTGGTTGGTCCAGGACTCCAGTGAACTGAATTCATGCAACATGGGATGTTTCATATTGTTTTTTCAGTGTTTGCTAAGACAGTTATATCATTGTCATGTGGCTTTTATATTTTTTAGAAATGTAGGTCTGTACTCTGATGAAGAAAGAATCCAAAACATACTGGAATGTGGTCAACTTGAGAATATGTTGGGATTTATACATGTGAAAACCATCAAACGCAAAAGTATGCTTGAGTTTTACAACTCTCATTAGCTGGTATATGGTAGTATTTAAGCAGGCTGACATCTGAACCCTAAACACATTGGCTGTAATCTAGATATGGCCAGTTGTACCTGGATACTGCCAACAATAATAAACAAATGGGACAGTTAGTTACAGCTAATGTCTCATTGATCTCAGCAGGTAACTAACTCCTTGTGCATTTGGGGCCAATGACTTCACAATGAGATTTGGTTATTTTTCTACATAATTTGTATACCAAAAGGTTTTCTTGTGAGATGGTGCTAGGCGGCAAAATCTAGGTACTTTAGTTTCCAGAATCTTAGGGTTACCTCCCATATTGCACAAGAACAGTACATGTTTGTGTGCCCATAGATTCCCAGAATATAGGAGAGCCATACTTGGTTGAGCATGGGTATGTATGGTCTGCAGGGATCCATGACTCATTGTGACTGTTCCCAATACACCTGTGGTAAAAAGAGGCTAGTATGATTCACAAAAGTTACAGGAAGCCCCGGGATACATAAGATATTCAGACATGTTAACTATACCAACAACTTGTCAAGTAAGCCTTTATTTGCTGTAGTGGTCTGTCTTGAAGAAAATGAAATATCTGGGGGACATTTTTAAATTTTCTTGATCCAAGAATGTACATTTTAGATTTACTCTATTCCTCTGATGGGAACCATCTGTGGTTGGAAACACTGAGTTCTTGCTGATTTTTAAAAAAATTAAGTCTCTGTATCTTTCACATACTGTCTTTGTGGCCTAGAGTAATGTTTAGATTAAAGGCAAGCTTTTCAATTGCATTTCCTTCCTCTTCAAGCTTTAATGCGCAGGGCAACAACTGAGAGACAATTATGCAGACTCTGATCTACTATGGGAGATGTCACATCGAAGCATCTTGAAAGTGGAGTGGGGTCCTACAGCAGAAGGAAGTTGGTGACATCCAGATGTGATCAGGTATCAAGACCCTGCTCAAATTTGAAGGATAGGACTTTGCTTTGGCCGAGCACACCAAAGCCTCTGACTACTTCATGAGTACCATCATGTCATAGTTGAATCAATACTTTCCCTAGTGTATGTGCCTTCTTTGAGTGAACATTGGTACTTAGTGTAATTAACCTTATTATGGATTGCTTCCAGATGGCCCTGCACACTAAATCGAGGATGAATATGTGAACTAATCTCTGTTTCTGGCTCTTGTCTGGTTTTTAGTAATGCTACTTATAAAGTCCGTATGGTCAAAGCAATGTATTCCCAGTAGTACTGTATGGCTGCGAGAGATGGACTATAAGGAAGGACGAGCGCCGAAGAATAGATTGTTTTGAATTATGGTGCTGGAAAAGACTCTTGAGAGTCCCTTGGACTGCAAGAAGATCAAATCAGTCAATCCTAAAAGAAATCAACCCTGACTGTTCCCTGGAAGGCCAGATAGTGAAGCTGAAGCTCAAATACTTTGGCCACCAAATGAGAAGGGAGCACTCACTGGAGAAGACCCTGATGCTGGGAAAGATTGAGGGTCAAAGAAGAAGGGGACAGCAAAGGATGAGAGGGTTAGACAGTGTTATCGAGGCAATGAACATGAAATTAAGCAAACTCCGGAGCATGACGGAAGACAGGAGGGCCTGGCGTGATGTGGTCCATGGGGTCGCAAAGAGTTGGACTCGACTGTGTGACTGAACAACAACAACAAAACATATAAAGATTTATAAGTAATACTTATAAATGAGCTAATTCTCTTATTGTGTAGTGGAATTGAGTAGCTTTTTTTAAATGTTCAGCGCACACTACAGTAACAAGGAAAAAACCAGACAGTGGAATCATGTACCTTAATTTGGTAGAAGGCGCTTTTCCCTCTCTCCTTTGTGTTTCCAAGACAAAAATAAAGTTACAGATTAAAACATGGTATGCTTGGAGAGTAGCAGTTGCAGCTGTACTTCTGCTCACTCTCCGGCCCTGGAAAGGTGATGCATTGCCATATTTCTGATATGAGGAACACACAAAAGACCATTCTGTCCTTGGCATATTCTTTTGACAGTGGTATTAATAGAACGATCTTATGCAGAGTCAGGTGCACCAACACCTTATTGAGAGCATGTCCCGCTTTACATAGCATCAGGCTGCAAGCATAAATATTCTTTCCCCATGGTGTTAATACTTGCAGAAAGCGTTTCCATGATCATAGACCATGGCCTTTTATTTCTAGCTATGTTAATTATTGCAATCACACAGAAGACAGCATATCCTGGCCCTATGCAATGGCCCATCACTTGTTGAAAACATGCCCTTAGTGGAGATTTGCCACTGTGTGAAACAAAGGGAAGGCAGCAGAACAGGACTTCTTCACTTCTCCCTTCCCACTGCAGCCTTAAATGCTCCCTCCAATATTGCTCCCAGGGGAACATCATGAGGGGCAACCTGAAAGACTGGTAGAGGGTGGGGGAATCAGCAAATGTCATTTGCTTCTGTTACTGGAAATTTACTGCAGGATCCAAGCCAGAACATGCAAGATTAAGTACCCCCCCAGGTGGCATTAATTTCTGGAAATTCTAAAAATGGCCCCTGGACATGGGAGTCAAAGAAATTACTTGTAGGACAGAAGGTGAGGCTTGAGGCTCAGCACCATTTATTTTAAAGTTAAGCCCATAAGCGCTGAAGGCAACCTTAATGGATAATGGCCACTGGTCACTCCTAAGCAAAAGCGAGACAATCACTGTAATTGGCAAGGTCAGCAATTTCAACAGACATTACTTAGCTACAATGAAATCTTATTAGCCTGCGTACTTGTACGCCAGCATCTTCTCATTACTTTTAGAAATGAGGGCGAATACTGACTTCATTCGGAATCTTCACTTAGTTCATCCCTTATGAATGTAATATCTGTTAAACAGTTACCTTAGAATTAAACAATCACCTTAGAATTGCCTCCAAGGTGCTGCCAAACAATCTGCTCTGTTGTGTTTGTCTTTATATCGACAAGCTGCATCAGATTTACAAGACAAAGCCTGCCAGGATTTTTGTTCATCTCAAAAAGCATCACCACCTTTTATACAAATGCCACAACTGTCAATATGGATGCAGAGTGCCTCACTGTACACACTCTGGCAAATCAGAAATCTTAACTTGGTACTTATATCATCCTGATTAATAAATAAATAAATCCATTGTAATGTTTTGGCAGGCTAACTAATTCTTTTGCTATTATTTCGCGAAGCCCAGAACTATGAAAATGGAAAGGATGAAATCCATTCTGAGGGAAATGACTTGCGGCAGTTAAAGACTGCCAGAAGAATGATACATGTTTTCTGTGCTGTCTGAAACAGAAAAAGCCAACTTCATGAGATGCTTAGCACCAGTCCCCCAAAGGAAGTTTTAAAACAGAAATAGATTCAGGAGTTTGTGGATTGTTCCAAGAGACAGCTTAGAACAACGGACAGAACCAAGGGCAATGGAGCAGAGAGATCCTTAAGAGGAAATATATAGTGTGAATAAAGTTATTAGTAGGGCATGGAACAAAGACTGCAGGGCAGAGAGAATAAGGGAAGTGAGGGGGAAATCTGAAGGATCAGGACCACGAAGATCTTGCCTACAATTCTTTGGATCTAACCCTATGTACTGCATGGTTTTAATAAATTAGTTTCATATTAAATGTCTTTGGTCACAATCCAGTTAAAAGGCCCAAGAAAGGCCATTAAAAAGCAATGGACTGAAGGATGCTTAACTGCTGTATTCCTTGTGTTTGCACAAATGAATCTGAAAGACAGAATAAGTCATAGCCAATATGGTATAGTAGTTACTGTCAGACTAGGGTCATAGAAATAGATCAAGATGAGTGGCTGTGTGAGTCTGTAAGAGTCCAGTAGCACCTTAAAGACTAACAAGATGTATCAGTAGAAAAGAGCAAGAGTCCACTAGCACTATAAAGACTAAAGGTTAGTCTTTAAGGTGCTACTGGACTTTTGCTCTTTTCTACTGCCACAGACAGGCTAACACAGCTACCCATCTTGATCTAACCAAATGTATGGTAGGGTGTGAGCTTTCATGAGTCACTGCAGTTTTTCAGATACAAATGTGAGTCTACCTGTCCTAGATATTGGAAAGTGGAGTGATTTCAGATGCCAAATGACAGCAGGCAAATGACATCAGCAGGTGTGATATGCAGAGAGGTAGTAGGGGTGGAGAAATCAGCACTGGTAATGAGACAGGAAACCTAGTGATTCAATCCAGGTGGATGCATTGTCTTGAGCTTCATTATCAATTGCAATTCAGCAGTTTCTCTTTCTAATTTCCCTTTGAAATTGTTGTGGTTTCTGCCCCAACTGAAGGGTAAGCGGGTGTTGCAATAAAATATTTTCAAACAATTTATTTTAAAAGCCATCCTGCTAAAACAGCTTCTGCCTAAAATGTTGATGAATTACTATTAGACTGATGCATAACCTCACTCCCTGATATTTTGTGGCTGACTCCGCCTCCCGTGGCAGCCATTTTGTGGCTACACACACCACACTGTGTCAAAATTCCAAAGGTGCTTGAAGGCTTGAAAAGGCTGGGGACCCTTGTTTTAAACTTACACATATAACTGACATGTAAGGGAAGCAATGCTATCCTTCTTTCCTCTCTTGCAGACAAAGCAATTCTAAGCAGGTTTCTGCAAGAGCAAGCCCCATTTTATTCAATGGGGAAAGTTGTATTCAGTGCGTAAATTACAACTGAACTCTGAGGCTGCAATCCTATCAGCATTTCACTGAGAATAATGAGATATAATCCTATGGCAGTGTGCTCAGAATATTAGCCCACATCTCACCGTATTTAGAACTAACTCTACAAGCTATGCAAGGACCTTTTTTGCAGCATTCTGCTGTAAGACTTGGGAGGAGAAACCAGGGATGGTTTTTCTCCCTCTAGATTATACATTACTTGAGCAGATACAGAGCCATGCACTGCTGGAGTAAAAGAAACAGTAGGACCTAGCACTACTTTCTAACCATGAACTTCCTTGCTTGACCCAATTCCAATCTGTTATAAATCTTGCCCTGCATTTCAAGTAAATTTAACCCTTTGGATTATCCAAGCAAAACTTCCAGATTGATTCAGTAACTTCTAAAGGGTAAGAGATGAACTGTCACATAAATACAGTTTAAGGCTCTGCAACCACCTTTATTTTAAAAGGAAATTCCTACCGATTCTGGAAATACTTTATTTAACCTTTTAGTTCTGTGTCACCTAAACATCTAACGGTTTCATTCCGGATCACCATCAGCTAATGGCAGATAGTTTTAATTCCTCCCAAGGTGCTCTCTCCTTATATACTCTCCCTCATCACCACCTACAATCTGGCAAGTATGCTTAGCTTTGATTCTTCTCTCTCACTTGCTCCTGTATTTAGTCTGTCACCAAGTCATGCTTCCTCTTCTTTTACACACTGAAAAAATATGCCCCTTTCTCTCCACTCCTTAAGGGAAAACGCTGGTTCATAGTCTGGTTCTTTTCTTGATATTGTAACCTTCTCCCCTCTGCTCTTCTTTTATCACACCTCAGCTCATTGCCATCAAAATCATTCCCCTTCTCATTGGTCTAACCATGTAGCCAGCTCTTAAGCCCTCCATTACCTTCCTACGCAATCCTAGGTCGAGCACAATCTCTTCCATGGCCTCCCTTCCACCACTTGCCTGTCAGAATATTTCTCTGCCCAACAACTACTGCGGGCTTGGAAGAAAGATGAGCAAAATCTTCTTTTTCTGGTCTTTCTCCAACTTTTTCCAGTAGTTAGTAGAAACACACACCAAGCATCTACTATACAATGAAATAATTTAGTCGACTGGCATATTTAGTAAACAACTGGAATGATAAGCAAATTACGCTGCACAGATTTTGGGAAGTAAAATAGTAAGCCTTAGAAGTAGCCTTGCCATCTGCCTGTTTTGGATGGTTAATTGCATACGAGTCTGGCCCTCCCACCCAACCTTGTGTCCAGGATGATGGGAGAACTGGGGAGAGGACAGACATGATGTTGTATGATGTATCAACGTCACATCCTAGCAAAAACCTGGACATATCAGTGTATCAGCCAATGCTCTAGAGCAGAGTTGTCGAACTCATCTGTTACAAGGCCCGGAACTGACATAAATGTCACTTTGTCGGTCCGGGCCACGTGTGCCATAAAACGTAATGCCAGGTACCAGAGATATAAACTATAAAGGACAGCAGCTGGTAAGCTCTGAGTTGGTGTGTCCTCACAGCAAGGTCCCATGGGCTGGGAGGAGTGTCCAGAGGAAAACCCACATGGGAGGGCTGGAGAGGCAGCAGTGCAGCACTAGGCAGACACTCCCACAATGCTTGACTGCTGCAGATGAGGTTGTTCCGCCATGCTGAAGCCACAATGGAGTGGCTCCCCCCAGCACTCCCTCGCTTGCACCAGTTGCACCAGTTCCCTGCTCTAGAGCATCCCTAAACCTTTCTGGTAATACCACACAGCTTTGGGGGAAATTCCAACAGGGTCGGCTTAGACACTGATATCATGGGCAAGTTTTTGCCTGAATGGGGCATTGTCGAACATCACGTCCACCCCTTGCCCTGCCCCTAAAGCTCCTGGTGGTGCATCATGGCGGCCTAGCAACCCTACTTACAAGACAGAAACGATAAAAGTGAACATTCTGTTTTGGATAGCTGAAAACCATATAGATGTTATCACCAGTTCTTGAACATAGCCAGTCATATAACATCCAAACATTGTCCTTCAAGAACTGATATTTTTCTCTTAAAACCAAATTAAACACTTATAATTTGCATTCAATTTAATATCCAAATTCACCTATCAGTAACATAAAAGCTATCAACAAAAGTACAATGGAAATCTGGACACAGGCCTAAGAAGTGGACTCATGACCTTGTGGGATACATTCTGCTTGTGTCTGTCTTTATTAAAACTCTTCCCTTATTAAATTGCATGCTTCAGATCTTCCAGTAACTTTCATGTATGTTTGAGCCTCCTGCAGGAATTATGACACCCTGCTTCTGCAGTTGCCGCAAAACGTCCAACATGGAATCCAGTTCTATGCGGAACTTCTCCAGCTCTTGATTCTTCAGCAGGGCAAGCTTCCTCCATTTCTCAATTTCCTGGGTTTGTTCCACTTCTGCAGTATGTCGAGTGTGCTGTATCACCTGTGCAGCAGAATAATACATTGATGTTCAGACACAAATTCCTTAGTTAGAAGCTGAAAAATAAATATATCTAATTCTCAGTATGGCCAAATGTGTGTTCTTAAACCCAGAGATTGGAACCATGAACAGACAAGACAGATCTTTCTAGAGACCTAAATAAAAAAAGCTCCAGGTTTGCAGAAAAATCTGAAATCTTAAAAAGAATACATTGGCAGGGGGAATAACCCCCAAATAATAGAAGTAGCACCTATAGCTTTAAGAATGACTGCCTTCTACAGTAGCTATTATATGCGTTACAACCACAACAGCATTGCCTACCAGAAGGTTTCTGTCAGTAAAATGCAAGGGGACAGCTAGGGCCATTTCCAGGGCATTTTTGACCTTTAAGGGAGGATTCACTGAGGCCAGGCCTGGTAGCAACCACTGAGTGCCTTGATACCAAGGGGCTCACATGACTGTCTCAGGCCTGGCCACTTCGGACTGTTCAGCTGCAGTCACCCAAGGAAAACCAGCGTGGAGTAGCGGCTCTAGCTTCAAATTAGGATCTGGGAGACCCAGCTTCAAATCACCATTCTGCCATGGAACCTCAGAGGGTTGAGACTCGGCCAGACACACATTAGCAGCCTAATGTACCTAACAGGCTGTTACAAGGATAAAATGGAGAAGAAGAGAAAGATGTAAACTCTGCTGGCCAACCACTGTGGAGAAAGGTGGGACATAAATGAAATAAATAAATCTGAAGATAGAGGGCAGACAAAAGATAGGCTAATGGGGAGGAAGGAGAGAAGAAAGCAGGGAAAGGTTGCCAGGAGGAAGGAAATGAAACAGTGTGGGGAGGGGGATACAGGGAAAAGTGAGCTGCCTCCAGCAAGTCTTTCCAGGTTCCCCACCATGGAACTGGGCCCAGTCCAGCATCTGGCCCTGCACAACTGGGCCATAGTTTTCCCAGGGAGAGTCTGCCATGGGAGGAAAGAAGGAAAAGGTGAAGGCAGGGTGGTACATAAAGGCAGGCTGGTTTGTGGGTGGGAAGGAGAAAAGGAAGCAAGGAAAGGGGAAGAGGCTATGGAGGCTCCCAGGAATAGAAAAGAGGAAATACTTGGGGAGGGGGTAAATGCCATGCCCCTTGCAAGTCCTTCCAGGTCCCCCACCTGTAATCTCTATTCCTTGGAGGTCCCCCACTTGTCATCTCTAATATTGAATGGGCTCTGTCAGAACATTTACAAAATTATTTTTCATGTTTGTTCTAAAATTCTTTGAAGGAAAATACACATACGCATGATTAATTATGTTCATGGGGACCAGAGTTAGGACTTGCTCAGGCCCAGTCTGATATTTCTTATTACAATGTGGTGCAGAGATCAAAGTACAGTCTGGGAGATCCCAGCTCAAATCCCTACTCAGCTGTGGAAGATGACCGAGTGACCTTGGACCAGGAGTCATTTCGTAGAAAAAGAGCTAGGGGAACTCATTAGCATAACTCATTAGCATATGCCACACCCCCTGACATCAGGGGCCCGGCAATGGACCTGCAAGGCCAGCGGGAGTGCAAGGAAGCCCCGCCAAGGCCCTCCCTGACCCCAGGCAGGCAGGGGTGGGGAGAGGCGGGGAGGAAGCAACTTACCCTCCCTCTTCTCCTGCCTCCTCCTGGCTGAATGAGGACTGGAAGCGGGGCGACCGGAAGCAGGGGGTGGGGCTTCGTCATGTGCCCCGCCCCCTGCACCTCACCCGGGGGAACTGTGTTCCCCCGCGTTCCCCCCTGAAATGACCTCTGCCTTGGACTAATCACTTTCTTTCAGCCCAACCTACTACACAATGTTGTTGAGAAGATAAAATGGAGGGTGGGAGAATGATGATGTAAGCATCACTGGGGAGAAAGGTGGCACATAAATATCTAAACAAACAATAAGTAAAAGTCAAATAAGACTAGTGGCTCCATACAAAATGGAAAAACATACGTAAGGAAAGCATTTTATCTAGAAAAATGTGTGATGTAAAATGTGATATGTACATCAGTCATGGCCCTAAGGAGCATGTTTACAATGTGTATTTTATTTTTTTTGTATTCTCTTTATTAGATTTTCCATAGCAAACAAACTAACAAACGAACAAACAGAAAGAACAGGCCATTGAACAGTAGTTTTCTGCAAAAAAGAAAGATACAGATCACATATTTGTTCTCGTTTTAGCAATGCTTTCAATGATATTTAAATGCATAGTTCTAGCAGTTTATAGCTTCCAACATAACCATTGACCCCTGATATAAAGTTCTTTGGATCTACATTTCTACCCGGTGAAATTTCTTGGCAATATACCTTCAGCACTCATTCTTATCCCTTAGATATACAAGTCACTAATCTAAACTGAGGCACGCATTTCTATTTCTATTCTTTAGGTTTAAATACCAACCATTACTTTATCAACCATTTACTAATCAGTGATTGTACCCTGCTGTTCTAAAACTCAATTCTCTCTGTATTCCAGGAAAAATACTTATTTTTTATTTTCTTGCTCATGTCTTTTTAAGTCCATTTTTTTAACCCTATATATTGTATATAACCTTCCATTCCAGTAATCTTCAATTGTCTAATTTATTCTTCGTACATTTCTTCTTGCTAATCCCCGTTCTTAACAGTTAAAGAGTATCAATACCCATGGAGTGGAAATAAAAAATAATACAGCCTATTATTCAAGCCTATTCTGTTTTCCCCACACATTTCTCTTATCAATTGTTTTGTATCCATGTTTCCCCACTAAGAGGAGTTTCAACATCTTTTATCTTCATTACTTAGATAACTAAACAATAATAATACAAATAGGTATTTAAAGCATACCTCTAACTACAAAAATGTACTAGAATACATTGTGGGGGTCTCTGCCTTTCGTTCATTATATTAACCAGACGAGGGGGAGGGAGTAGGTAAAATAAAGGGAAAAGAAAGTTGGCTCTACCACGTAGTGCGCAACGCCTATATCTTCCCCTTCTTTTGCTTTCTGGGTTACCTTTTTCTCAATAACTAAACTTAAATGTCTTACTTCTTTGTATTAATCAGTTTTAACTTCCATGTTTTGTCTTTCCTGTTTCAATGACTTTGTTTTCAATTTTCTGTTAAGTCTATTGTTTTTCCTTGGAGAACGCTTCTCTCGTTTTGTCTTCAGCTTATTCGTCTTTCCATGATTTTGTCGTCGGGAGGTTCCTTTTATCAGACTCACCACCAAAGAGTGTTTTGCCAAACTCTTTAAATTACACTTTTGGTTGTCTAAATTTCTCTTTCTCTTCTCCACTAACAACAGTGTGCTCTGTAACTCTTTTTCTTGTCTGAAGTTCTGCTCCTTATCTAAATCCACCCCATTTCATTGGGGCTGTAACAATTCCTCTTTCCTTTTCCCATTCAAGTTTGAGTTCAGAAGATTTTCAAAGGCATTTTTACATGCTGTTTCAACTGCCTGTCGCACTTCATCAAAGAGAATTTTTTTTATTGTTCCATGGTAAGCTGGCCAATTTCTGTTTAGCATATCTAACTCCTCGTCGTCTCCTTCAGCTACTTTGCCGTTCTCCCTTGTCGCCACCATTTCCTTGTCTATTCCTTTGCTCCGATGCAATTCTTAGCCGCCGTTACAAAGTTTGGAGCTATTCCTAGAGGATTATTTAGTATAGGTCTTCATTTAAACGTTGCTAGAGCCCCATGTATTCTTCTTTGTTGCTATATATTGTAACATTAATCCAAAGTTTAAAACGGGCGGTCACAGCTCAATTGTAACAAGGCGAACCCTGTTACTCCTGTCTCCATTTCCGCTTCAAGACAAACCGTTCTGGCCACGCTCACCGCCATTTGCACACTTCCTGGCCAAGTCTCCTGCCTCCAGCCTCCCTCTGAAAGGTCCGGCGAAACCCCCATAAGCCCCGAGGATCCTAGGAGGCTCCAAAGAAACGAAGAAAGACAGGGCCAGTTGGGAGCGTCCCGACTGAGCTCCTGTGGTGCTGCGCCGCTGCCCGGAAGTCACAATGTGTATTTTAGAGGGTATTTTTATACAAATGCCTTTCAAAAGGTACAGAAAAGATGTGTTTGAGCAACATTGGAAATGCAGGCATCCAGCTTTATTATAATGTACAAAAAATGACCCCAAGAAGCAGCAATGATGCCATTTCACAGAATGTGAGAGATGTGTTATCAGAACTTTTTTGACTCTAAGAACAAGAAGCCCTAAACCCTAATCCAAGTGTGAAGAAAGCTCATTAAAACTTGTGACAGTTTTTAATTAGCATGCTGGCTATGATTCACAGGTACAATGAATGCAGAATTCATTGTTACATTTTGAGGCCATCAGGCTAAAGTGTTTGCTTTTTTTAAAATAAACAGCAAGAATAAGTGTAGACTTGGATTAGGATGTTTTCAGTCAGAAAATTACAAAGTCTTTTACTCGGGAAATGACAAACAGAAAAAATGGATTTGCTCTAATTTTGAGGAGAGATGTAGCACAAGCAATTGGGGGCTATAACACAAAGTCTGACCAAATAATATCAGACTTCATGGAAAGCCTATCAACATAACCATCATTCAAGTTTATGCCCCAACTACAGATGCTGAAGAAGAAATTAAAAGTTTTAATACAAGTATCCAGGAAGAAATTGATCACACACCTAAACAAGATGTGCCAGTAATCATAGGTGGCAGAAAATTTGGGCTAGGAGCATGAAATGAAACAGAAGAGTGACTCAGAATTCTGTGAAGACAGCAATTTATTCATTGCGAACACATATTTCAGGCAACCAAACAGACGATTGTATACATGGACATCACTGGATGGCCAATATAGAAATCAAATACATGACATTATCAGAAGGAGAAGATGGGGAAGCTCTATTCTCTCTGCTAAAACAAGACCAAGAGCTGATTGTGGTACAGACCATGAATTGTTAGTCTCAAAAATTAGAATAAAGCTGAAGAAAAACACTGAAACATTCATAGTGCAGGGGTGGAAACTAGTCAGAGGGTCAAAAA